AGATAAAAGTAATATGTATAACGAATATAGAAAAGAAATAAGAATCCTTGATGATATTGTAAAGCAAGATATGGAATATTTTAAGAAAAATAAAATAAGTTAAACTATGAACTGAAATTTGATAAAATAGGTTTAATGAATATAATATTTGGGAATATTTAAAAGAAAATAGAATAAGTAATAATGTGATATGAATTTGAACAAGAAAGGTGGATATATAACCATGGTCATGTTTGTATTGAAATGTAAAAGCTGAAACCACACTGCACGCCAAAAGAGATGTTTCTTTTAAAAAATATATATAAAAACAAAAGAAGAAATTGTATAATGAAATTATTATATATGTTTAAATAATATGGTGATTGGCATTAGAAGAAGGTATTGGAATACTGAATAATTAAACAATGAAGGATCATAAATTATTATAAATATGTGTATTAATATTATAATTAGAATGATGAATGTAAGGGATGTGATTAATGTTGTTATTTCTGTTTGCACCAAAATGTACAATGATTAGGTGCCATACTGTTTATGTATTGATGACTATAAGTAAAATTAAAAAAAATTGATTAAAAAAAAGTCACTCAGTCTTTTCATAGCAATGATAATGCAGCCTGTTGTTGAAAGACTGGCTCAAGAGAAAGTATGCCACTTGTTTATGTGTGTGATAGACCTGCTAGCACTAACCTTAGCCTGTTGCCCAAGGAAGTAAATTTAATTTGCCTAATAATGAGGCCAGCTGGAAATTAGCATGGAAATGAGCAGTCTGATGTGGTCCAGATGTTTTGAACTTCAATTTCCATGGACTTGAGTCAGTCTAGCTGCTAATAAAACACAATCCAAAACATCCGGAGTATAAAGATAAGGGAAAAGATATTCCCTGTCCAGCAATGCTCACCTCTGTTCCTTAGTCAAGGGGGCCAAGGTTGTCCAAAGATACTTCCATAGTCATGTGGTCAGCATGACTATACACTGAAGCACAGAGAATGCTGTTACTTTCCCACTGAAATGGTACCTATTTATCTGCTCACATTTGCATGCTTTCAAACTGCTAGGGGAGCAGGAGCTGAGGCAAATAATGGGAGTTTACCCCATCACATGGAGCTAGGATTCAAACCCAGGTCGTCAGCTTTCTAACTGACACTCAGAGTCTTTAACCACTGAGCCATTGCATTCTTCAATCTGGAACACATCAAGTGGCTAATTGCATCCATATTTGATAGAATATGCAGGCTACATGCTAATGTTAATAGGGTAAACCAGGTTTAGAAATAAGTTTGTAACTATTCTTGGATGTGAAATATGAAGAAGGCAAGGGGAATTACTAGGCAAAAATCTTCTGTTTCCAGAAAACATCATTGTGGCTTGAAGAAACAAGGACCTGTCAAACTGAAAGCAATGAATGTTGCCATTCATTGAAGAATAGAGATTTTGTTTACTTCCTGAATGGATTTGCAATCATATTTGGCACTGCCATAGACAGTAGCCCAACTAAGACTGCAGGTGGAAAAAGCAATGGTGGAGATACAGGAAAATGAAAAAGAGCAAAGGTAGAAATTGTCCTTTACCTGTCCCCCAACCCCCTTGTGTTATAGGGTACTTATGCCTAGCAATCTAATGGCCTTGATGTTATTCTTTCATCTCTTGTTGTCAAAATCTCTAGTTTCCTAAACCTTATACAGTAGTTCTATTGTTTCTTCTCTGTTTTTTTGTCAACATCCCCTTTACTTTGTCTTCTAATGGAATGACACTATATGATCTATTAATTTTGAACATAAAGTTATATAAGTATCCTGAGAAATTTCCAGTATGTATCATACTGCTAAATGTAAATAATATACACTCAAATATCATCTGAAGTTGTTCTAAGGTTTATGACAGAAATCCCAAAGGTGTTTTTTGAAGAGGCAACTGGACTTCCTTGTTTTTCTTTGAAGACGTTCACTTCTCAGCCAAGAAGTTGAAGATGACTGAGAATCTCCATAGAGATTTCTGAAAGAAAGTTTGATCAAACTTTGTCTAAGACTAGAGGAAGGTATCTGTGAACTAAAAGTCCCAACCATCTCACTATTGTCTCTACTGAATGAGGCTGATGGGAATTTCAATTCAGCAACATTTAAAGACCCAGAAGTTCCTCATTATCACCTTTTCTCAATTCCCCATAGGCTGATACAATTGTTAAACATATTTTTAGGCAGAATTAAGTTGCTCTGATTACGATTATAGGTATAATAATATGCCAGTGGAATATCCTCTATAACCTCAGTATTCAGACTGTGTTCCCTGGCAATTTCTGCTTACATTGAACAAAATTATTGTTACAGCAATAATTGTAACACTTTATTTAAATTAAATGTATTTACAGCACACAAAATTTATTTATTAATTGGTTCATTAATTTTTCATATGGGTACGGGTTCTCTGGTTATCTCAATTTTGGAGACCATTCCTCTATAGGATAATATTGGCCTCTGAAAATAGCCTGTTTGCTTGCATTATATTATCAGTGTCTGGTGCCCAGAGCCTGTTACCAATTCATTTTAGTTCTATTCAACATGCAGAATCTTTTTCCTTTTTTTCCCCATTACTGTATGGGCCTCTTTTTATTTGTCTTTTCTCTCTATTGTTCTTTCTGTCGCCGAATGTCATTCATTTTGTAAAGATGTCTGGCTTAGAGCTTATATACTACGGGGCATGTAAAGCCTACCTGTCAATGCTGATCCAGTCACTTTTGCTCAGTCATGTGACAATTTAGAGGAGGGAAAGTTAAAACTTTTTTCTTTTTTTGCTGCAGAGTACCCAGCAATAACGGGAGCACGTATCTTCAGCGGATCCTTCCACTGTGGCAAGTTTGCTGCTTCATAAATTCATAACAATATTGTTTTCTTCCTAGGTGGTTGAGGGAAAAAAAACCTAGCTCCTGGAATCTGAGGATGTCAGCATCTAGAGGCCAACTGTTAGGTTCCTCCCTTTTTTTAAAAAAGAAAAATGTCTTGCTGTTCTAAAGAAACACCTGAACTCATGGTGAAATTAGGCTGTTTTGCAAGCATGCTTCTAACATGTAGAAACATGTTAGTGAAACCATCTATAATATCCTGCTTTCTTCTTTCTGAACTTCTGCACTTGGGGAAACATACATTCAGCTTGAATATGAAAAGGTCTCCTGTTTGATAGGAGGCTTGGAAATAAGAATTTTCTTGCACATTTATGCCTAAATGCTGTTCACTTTTTATAGGAAGTGTGCAATTTGGTTCTTAGGATGAAGCGTGGATTGTTTTAGCTACAGGACAAACTGTTCGGATGCTTCTTTAAATATAGATTAATATTAATGTCTTTTCAGAATATGTTTTTTTCTCAACTAAAACACTTCGAACTTAGCCAAGTGTTTGCAGTTATTGAAAAGAGTGCAAGAACCAGAAATTTACCATAGCTGTTGCATCCTATCATTGTTGCAGGAATTATTCAGGAAAAGGTTAAAGTATTTATGACTATTGCGATCCTATTGCTGAAAAAACCTATAAAAGGTTATAGGGGCATAATTGGTGGTGTGTGGATATTGCCCTAGATTATATTAATGAAAAGTGTATGCTATTTATGTTATTTTAAGTTTGTCAGAAAGTAATTATATTTGGTTTATATTATTAATTTTAATTATTCTGAACTTATAACTGAATTGCACTGTGGGTGAATACCCTGAGAAATGAATAATTGTTAAGAAATAATCCAATTTATACATGCTACATATAGAATATGTGGAATGCCTTATTGATAATGCTTAGAAATGCAGAGCACTTGTACAATCAAATAGAACATAAACATTTCCAGACTCTTCAGATCTCTAGTATACTACAATGATAGATTACAAATTTCCCAGTGATTTGTATATTTAATATGGAAAGTTCTTGTACAACTGAAACCTTTACACATTGTAACAAGCCAAGTTTATTTATTTATATGAATTACTTAACAGATTTCTATCCTATACAACTCCAAGCCCAGCCAGCTTATAGCTGTGATTTTTTAAGTCAGTGGTTGGTTTCAAAGAGAGTACTAAACCATATGGCAGTTTATTTGGCTTTGGTTTAATGTATTATGTGGCATACTAAATTTGTACTAAGTTTATGATTTAGCAATGCATAAACCTAACCGCAATGAACAAACCATGGCTTAGCACAATGTATGACTCCAAACCACAGAGTTTGATAAAGAGCTAAATGTCCATGAGGCATCTGCTTTTATGAACACTGTAATTATAGACACTGTTACAATTGATATTGATAACAAAACCTATCTAACACTTAACACTGTATTATTTAACATTATCTAAAAGATTAGATAATCTAAAAGATTAGATAATCTTTTCTGGAGATATTGATCACCTCGTTGATAATCAAATAGAAGCTTCTAAAACTAGATGTCAGTTCAATTTCAATTTGGAAAATTGAAAATAATTTTTATTTTATAATATGCCTCAGTGGCATTGCCACCCAAATGCTTTCAATAATTCAGCACATTGCAGAAGTAACCAGCAAAAAGATTCCCTTCAGGAAAAGTGATGACTAGAATTATCTGCATTTTAATCTTCCCCAACCTAGCATACTTCCCATATTTAGGAACCAGAATTATTGCATGCAATGTTCCAAGAATTGCCTTCCAAAAATATCTGGGTTGTGAGATTTTTGGAAAAGGCAATAGCAAGTTGTAGCATGAAATGGCTTCTAATTTCAGAGTAGTTTCAGAGTATTTTTAAAAATAAAAAAGAGAAGAGTGTATGGCTTTGCACCTTTTGCTATGCTGTTTGCTTGCAGCAGCTTCTTTGGATTAAAATGTGCAGTTCAGAATGAAATATGCTTTTGATTTCATTGGAAATATGGATTGTGAAAATGTGAAGCATGTTAAAAATAATGAGCAATTAATAAGACATGTAGAGAATATATATTTCAGATATTAAAAGTATAATACAATGTAATCATTGTCTTTCTTTTAAACAGCCAGCAATGGGTGATTGGAGTTTTTTAGGGAACATCTTAGAAGAGGTGAATGAACACTCCACTGTCATTGGGAGAGTGTGGCTCACGGTACTCTTCATTTTCCGAATCCTGATCTTAGGAACTGCAGCAGAATTTGTATGGGGTGATGAACAGTCAGACTTTGTTTGCAACACTCAGCAACCAGGTTGTGAGAATGTGTGTTACGATGAGGCCTTCCCTATCTCTCATATCCGTCTGTGGGTCCTCCAAATCATCTTCGTCTCCACTCCTTCGCTGGTATATTTGGGCCATGCTGCCCACTATGTAAAGGTGCAACAGAAAAGGAAAGAGAGGAAAGAAGCTGAAAGAGCTCAGCAAAGAAAAGCAGAGGAAGAAAACTCACCTCTTGACGAAGATGATGGCAACTCTGTTTCTATGAAGGATACAAGCCACAGAGGGATCAAAAAGTTCCATCTTGAAGGAGCTATTCTGAGAACTTATATCTGTCACATCTTTTTTAAGACCCTCTTTGAGGTTGGATTTATAGTGGGTCAATATTTTCTGTATGGCTTCCGAATCTATCCCCTTTACCGCTGTGGCAGATGGCCTTGCCCCAACATTGTAGACTGTTTCACATCCAGACCTACTGAAAAGACTGTTTTTATCATGTTCATGTTGGCTGTGGCATCAGTATCCCTCTTCCTCAATCTTGTAGAGATCAGCCACCTGGGTCTTAAGAAAATCTTGAATGCTTTCAAAAAACCAGTGGAACAACAACCTATGGAAACGCAAGAGACTCACCTTCATTCTATTGCTGTTTCATCTATCCAGAAAGCCAAAGGGTATAAATTGCTAGAGGAGGAAGGGAAGCAAGAATTCCATTATTTTCCTTTGACGGAAGTAGGAGTAGAAAGTTCATTGCATGACATGGAAGAGAAGATTAGCATGGAACACCTGAAAGACCTCTCCAGGACATTTAATGAGCAACTGCATTCCTACACACACATAGACCAACTAGACAAGGAGAAAGGAGAAGCAGGGGAGGAATCAGAAGAGAAGGAAGCTGAGGAAGCTGAACCACAAAGATCAGAACTGTTAACAGAGAAAACAGAAAAACAAGTAGAAGAAAAGTCCATGGAGAATGAGGTAGAACCACCACAGCAGAACTTGCCACTATCATCTGCTGATGTGATTACTGACACAAGACCCCTTAGCAGGTTAAGCAAAGGCAGCAGTCGGGCTCGGTCTGATGATCTGACTGTATGAGTAGTAAGCCTAAGAGTCCAACCCCTACACTTACATATATACACACCTCAGATGTCTGAAACAAAATGCTAAAGTGGTCATTTTAATATTGTTTCTTAATATTTTATCAATGTTTTAGCTAGGAAAAAAGTACTATTAAAGTTAACTGTTTTATTATTAGTGTTTTTCATGATACTGGTAGTAGTTATTATGTTAGTCATGTAATGCAACAATGAAATGAATTCTTCACTTGAAATGATTTCATTACTATAAAATAAAATGCACTATAACAATATTAAGATTCAAGGCCAAAAAAACCCCAAAACCAACAACCACTGACTGCAATGAGGAAAACAAATGTAACAACTGTGATTGCAACTGTTTTTATGCTATTCTTTTCTCCTAGCATTTGGGAGGTGTTATTTCTTTGATGATCATATATAGAGATAAATTGATAACTTGGGGCTTTCTCCTCCTTCCTTGTGGAAGTTAAATCAGTTATTTTTCAAAAGGGATTTTAATTCATCTTCCAGTGAATGTAACAAAAATGTTTGCTTATGGAGACAAATGAGGTTTACTTCTATAAATCAGCATAGTTCACAGACAACCTAACTATGGAACCAATATTTGTGATTGTGTCAGACAAACCGTTGGCATGATCAAAACAATTTTTTGGAGATCTGCTGATTTATTTGTTTGTATCTCATGATGGGACAGGGACAGAAGAAAAACAACATAAACCAAATGTGAAAAATATAAATTATTTAATTTGACCTTCTTCTAAAATGTACAGTGTAGTAAGTAGTAAATGCTTGGTTAAATGTGTAACTTCAACCACATGGGAAGAGGTTGCACTGGTATACCTTGCCTACTTTGAGCTGTTCTAGTTTTTGGAGAAAGATACGATCATTAATGATCACATTAGAAATGGAAGAAAATACTGGCATTTTACAGTATGTATTGAAGTGTGCTGTATCTTTATTTTCCTCCCTGTAGCTGTAATATATTATGAGCTCCAGGATAAATTGTGGATTTTAATGGTCCAAGGTTGTATTATATAATGAAAATGCCATTTGCTTATTATAGGTAGCTGAAGGCTAAATTATCCTTAGCTAAATCATTTTTAGCAAATGGAAAGTAAAAAGAAAGAAACAATCTGAGAATTTAGACTTGAGTTATAATTTGTATTCCAAATGATTCCTTATTCTGCTTTTTGCTTGAGAGCTAAGTGTTAAAGCTGAGGTCCATATTCCCTACTGTGCTGATTGCATGGTCTATTTTGCATAGCCTTCAAATCATTATTCTAGTGGTTTGGACAGATGCAGGACCAGTGCAGAATGAAGCTGGTTGGATAGACCCCTTTAACTGTTTTTGTTGAAGAAAACTGAGATTTACTATTCACTATGTTTACTATTCACTGTGTTTTCAGCAGTAGTATGGGATGACCCATACTACTATTTGGTAGAGCAAAGCAGTTTTCTTGACAGCCTTCCTGCTACTTGGGAGAACAGGGAGTAGCAGTGAGGTGACTAAGAACATTACTATGTCCTTCAAGGTCCCATCTCCAATACAGAAATAAGATTCAGCAGCCATCTGATAGCTGTGCTCTCTTCCTTTCTCTTCTGATAGCAGTATGTTTTAGAATAATGGTAAAAAACAAAAGCTCTGGGAAACTCCTCAGAAAAAGCAACAAATATATCTGGCAGCCAAAGCCATCTGTTTATTTAACAGCAGATTACTAGGACTGAGCAAAACTTTCCAGAGAAATGATTCACAATGTGCAGAGTGATACAAAGTAGTTTTTGATTTAGCAAAACACTTGCTCATTTCCCACTTTCTTAGGAAAGCTACTATGCAAAGAATCCGGCTGCTTTAACAGTCCCAAAACAGATGCTTTGCTCAGCAACCTGCACATTGCAAAAGACCTCTTCGAAGATTTTGCACAATCCTTTCAGATACAGATATAGGTATGTGCCTGCGTAGAGAGAAAGCGAAATTGATTTCTTGAAAATGCCAATTTTTATCTTGAGATCTAGAAAACAATCCCTCTCTCTTATTGGTTTGGTGAAAATATAACTTGTATATGTGTAGCAAATCAAATCTTTTTAAGGCGGTGGAGACTAATACCAACAGAAATGTGCAGGTATGCACTTTCATTGGCTCTGTTTTTTCAGCTCTTAGTGGCTCAGCAAATTCTCTCCAGTCCAGAAACAATGCAAAGGGAGGTTTAATCCATTTCAGAAAATCCCTTTTGCAATAAACTGCCAACACACCCAGAAAGGACCCATATAATTTTTCAGCAGATTAAAGCATAAGCACCTAATTCAGAGGTCAGTTGAACCCAGGGATTTTTCTCCATAATCATGATCCCATGATCTGGGATCAGGACTTTAAACCTCACCAAATTACAATACATTCTATTAATATGTAAATATCACCCATTATCATTTCAACCCTGGAAGCAAGGAAGAGGACTCTCTTAAATGAAGCAAAGAAGTTTATGTAATGATGATTCAATTTTTTTAAAAATTATAGTACTAGTCCATTAAATTTTTCTAGTAGAATATTCTAATGTTCTTTTATTAATAATAAATCTATTATTTCTGGAATTTTGAAACTTGGAAGCCTCACAAAGGGTTTGGGGAGATCAGAATGTTAAACAACAATAACAACATATTGTTATATGTTGTGATATACATCCACCTGGAAGTGAAGGATCAGGTAAGAAACAGCAAATTACATTTCAATTTTCCTTAGATGACCAAGCTTATTTATTTGGTAATGAATTTATAAACTTTTGATTAGGTTTTTAAAAAATTATAAAAAGGTTAAAATAGGGGGAAAAAAATTTAGGAGGAAATCAAAAGATAAATTCCATTTATGACATGGACACCAATTTTTACCAAAAAATGAGAAAACAACTTGAGTACTGACAATTTGCAGCTGTTCATTACTGTACAATAAGTTTAATAAATAAGTTTTTTTAAGGTAAAGTTTTTACAAAAAGTTTTAAGCACAACAATAAAAAATAAATAAAAAGTACAAACAAAAAAGGGAAAAAAAGTGGAAAGAAAACAAAAAAAGCAACTTCCCTCTTTATCTCAACAAGTATCAACAATTTCACTATTTCTTCACCTCCCCTTAGTTAGCAAATGTAAAAGTGTTTATCCCAATCATCACCACCATCATCATGGTTTTCTTTACACAAAACAATCTTGCTTTTTAATGCATTCCAAATATCATTATCCTCTTTGGTACTTTAACAAGCCTCTTTGGTAAATCCATCAGGAAGAAATTATTCCAATTATTGTCTTCAATTGGCATTTTTATTTCCTCCGTAATTTTTAGAAGCTTATCCAACTTCCTTGCACATCCAGTGATACATTCTTGCCCATTTTGTTTTCCTCAAACACCTCAGATATGATTGTTTTAAAAATAGTTTTCTGTAACATTTTATGATGTAACAACATCTGGCAACAAATGTTCATAAAAATATAACAAAGCTGACAATGTTAATGCAAAGTCTTTTTGCTATTCCTGAATGCCATTGTAAGCTACTTCTTGTTTCCAATATTGAATATATTTTTTCTTGTCCACAAAAATGTATTTATTCTTTGTAATTAATGTCAGTCAAGATTTAAAATCAAATATACCAAGTTTTTTAAAACCAGTTTAAGACTTTCTATAGTCAGTACTTAGTCTTGCTTTTTGCCTTTCAGTTTTGAATTCTTAAGGCTTTTAAAGATACAGTGTCATTTTTTTAATATTAAGGATTGAAGACACTCATGTGTTTGCAGCCTTGACATTTGAAGATGTCTAACTTCTTTAAAGCAGTTTATAAGCAATTTCTGAAGGTGGTTAACAAAAGAAGTTTGAATTTAGTGTCCTTTGAAGGCTTTGGTTGAGGCTGGAGCAAGAATTTCCTGGTTCCACCACTCTCCAGAGACCATTGCTTTGCAGTCTCCTGGTGAGGAGCAACCATATGGAGTGCAATCTGGGCAATCTCACATCCTTTCCCCCCCACTTTCTGAGAGGGTGAAAGAAGCCAATCTATTCATCAACTCCTTGTTCTTAGTGGCAAATGTCACCTTTGAAAAATGTCTTCAGTTCACAGTTTCTTTCCTGGAAGTGTGTAGTTTAATAAGTAAGTTCAAAAATTAAAGTGCTATGAGTTTAAAAATTAATTACTGAAAATATTGTTTTTGTTTTTAATGTTTATCTTATTTCCTTTCAATCACTTTTTATATTATTTTAGTGTTTTTAATTTGCTTTTTGAAAAATGTTGAAGATTTTGAGAAAAAATTAATATAGGAGAAAGTAATCACAACAATTGTATATATCTAATTCACATTCTAGTCACTATGATGTATAATGTAATTATAAGCAAATATATAAATCTGATATTTAAATTTCTGCATATTATTGACACTTGAAGTCACTAAAGCAGCTTTCTCTAAGATATCTTTGCTTACTGTGGAGAGATCTTAATTGTACGTGCAAACCCTTCAATTAATTTTAAAAGGATACCTTGGAATGTAAACAAAGAAGGCTGTAGTACAGCTTTTTATTTTTTCATTATAAATATTTAGGGTTCAACTTGCCTCAAAGTAATGCTAACAAATCCGTAAAATAAAATGATTTAAAGGAATAAAATAAGTCAAAATAATTTTTACTGCATATCTGGAACTTAGCAGTGAGATGTATAAACTGACTTCCTATAGAAGAGAATCTGACACCCAAGAAGCCTATAAAGAACCCTACTGTTTGCATCCACAATGTAACCTCTCCTGGTGGGGAATATCCAGCAGGACTTCTGCTGAAATTGTAGATTACAGGTAGGCTCATTTAGGAGGAAGTGATTTTTTTTTCAGGTATCCCTGCTCTGAGCCATTGTGTATATGGCATTGTAGAACCAGACAACTCGCAGTAGCAAATGAACACACTAGCAGTCACTGTTATATAGCACTTAGTGAGAGATGATTAGCTCCTATCTGATTTGAGAATTCTAGTGGCTCTTATGTACTCTTGCATATTAAGCACAAAAAGGTGTTGCTGAAGGAGAGGAATGCTTGTTTGCCCTTCACATGTGCCATTATTACACATATGTGCCAACATTATGCACATTTTCACTCCACAAACACTGAAAATATTTGTGTCCCCATGAATGTCCTAACTGTTGA